CACACACACACACACACACACACACACACACACACACACACACACACACACACACACACACACACCACCCGCAGCTGCCCTCCCAAGCTCAAATCTACTCCTGCAGCAGCAGCCTGGCCGGCAATAGCACTCGCGACCAGATGAATTGGTGTAGAAAGCAGCATTCTATTCAGACCAGTAGCTAGGCCTATTGAATCCGACGCAAAGTCTTTTGGAGAGGCCCGGCATTAGTCTTTGGCAAGCAGGTCCCAAGACTACAAAAGGCACCTCAATGGGTCCAAACCAAGCGCCCCCCCCCCCCCGCCCCTGTCGTAGTCTCGTCTGGGTCTCCAAAATTTCCAGGACGGCCTCATATCTTTGGGCCCTTTTGAGGCCTTTCTGCCATCAATCGCCCATCTTAGTATCGGAATTCACAATCGAAAATCGATCCGAGAACGTCTCCTGTTACCTTGTCCACTTGTTTTCCGCACACGTGCCCACGTTCGTTAACAAAAAAATTAACATCTGCCCAAGTTGGTTAACTAAGAGTTAACTCCATGAAGAACTCCACCAAGAGTTAAAAACTGCCCCAGTTGGTTAACTGGGAGTTAACTGCATGTACTCCTTGAGAAATTATGGCTAACAAAAAAGTTAACATCTGCCCAAGTTGGTTAAATAAGAGTTAACTCCATGAAGAACTCCACCAAGAGTTAAAAACTGCCCCAGTTGGTTAACTGAGAGTTAACTGCATGTACTCCTTGAGAAATGATGGCGATGGGCAAAGAAGTGAACCGCCACAAAACCCGAAAAAATGCACAAAATATCAAATCATGAATTTCACTATCCAACTGTGACCAAAAAAATATACCCTTTCTCATCTGTGCTATGTACATATTATCTGAAAACAGCAAAACATCGAACACTCGTCTACGCCTCACAAACAAAACATCGGCGAAAAGGGAAAGCATTGCAGCACAGGCGGAAACAAATAGCCCTCCTTCAGTCATCCTGAAGTGCATCACAACGCAAATTAGATTCGACGTCCACACCTAACAAACAAAAATTTGGCGAGGGACAACTCGACGCTGCAATGCACTTCACATTCCGCCATCCTTCAGTTGTCAATGATTGGCTCCTCTCTCTATCTCACTACTGATTAGCATTTTGGTGTTTAGGCCATAGCCATAGCCATTGCCATAGCCATAACACCCCCCTCCCCTCCCCAACCCCTCTGACCATGTCCATCATCCCCCCACCATAATAATCCCTGCCGAGCATTGAGCGCCACCTCCAGCTGCAGCTGCAGCTGCATAACCACTGTTCTCCCGTCCTCTACGGCCTCTAATTACGGTCTTTACGTAGGCTACCAGAGTGGCCTGGGTCCACTTGCCTGCCCAGGCCAAAAAAAATAAAAAAAATAAAAATAAAATTTAATAAATATTAATAATTTAATTATTGTAAATTTGGTAAAGAATTTCAAGGTGACCCTGAGGCAACAGATTTGTATTCCTCAGATTGATCTCCCAATCCATCCTCAGATTGGTCTCCAAATAACGCATAACGTGATTGTATTCCTGCTTGGCCTTCGTAACAGAACCCTTTGAAACGAGGCGCACTCGACCGACCTCAATCTGATAATAAAAGCTTTGTGCAACCCGCCGATGACAACATGTCACACGAATCCTCTCGCTGTGATAGACCATGCGGAAGCTGGCGACAATCCAATTTCCTCCTCGATTGTCGAAGGGATATCGTTTCATGCTTCGCACTCACCCTTGCTTTGACAGTCCGTTTCCTCTGACGCAGATTCAACGCAGGCTTCAAGATAATGCGAGGCGCATCTGCACTCTCTGGTGATTGCGCATTTCCGCCCGATTGAGAAAACACGAATTGCGCATTTCCGCCCGATTGAGAAAACACGACGTACGAGTTCAACTCTCCACAACGTGACCTGCTGACAGAGAATAGAACACAGCCATTGCTGATGATACTCTCTCTCCGATCTAACGGTGCAAGTGCCGCAACTCACCCATGATCAGCTGCCCGCTGATCCGACAGCACCACCCTGAGCTTGAAGGCTACAGGGTCTGCACAACCTGACCTCTGATGCGGATTCAATGCAGGCTTCAAGATAGCGTGAGGTGCATCTGCACTCTCTGGTCATTGCGCATTTCCGCCCAATCGAGAAACCACGACGTAGCAGGAGAGATACAGGGGGTCTGCACAACTTTACCTCTGATGCGGATTCAACGCAGGCTTCAAGATAACGCGAGGCGCATCTGCACTCTCTGGTCATTGTGCATTTCCACCCGATTGAGAAACCACGGTGTAGCAGGAGTTCTACTCTCCACCGCATGATTGACAAAGCACGACATAGCAGGAGTTCATCTCTCCACAACTTGACCTGCTGACAGAGAATACAACATACTCTCTCTCCGATCTGACGTTGGAAGTGCCGCCTCACTACCTAGATAAACGCCGGCTACATCTACACTTCGTGTGGTGATCGCATCGGACGCTCGACCAGTTCGATGCAGAACTCCCTCCTCCTCCTCTTCCTCGTCCGCCTCCTCCTGCTCCTCGTCGATGGCCACTGCCGCGTCCTTGATGGACGCAGTCCTATCCTTCCTCACTGTTTATTGGCCTCGCAGCTGACCCCTCACCACATCCTATTCACAATTGACCAACCAGTCCCCGATCACTCCCCTTCAGCAGAGAGTGCTTTTTCCTACCCCACAGCCTCTGCCTCTTCCTCTGTCCATCACCTGTCCGTCATCTCCAAAATAGCCCTCACCCAAACATCCTTATCTCCCCTCGACCGCCACCTTCTCCCCACTCCGTAACCTTCTTTCGATTCTCCTTTCGCCTCGGAGTCCTAACATTACATCGGAAGCTCGACTGCATGTCACCTATCGTTTCCCTGAGTACTACTGCCCCCGGCAGTTGGAACCCTTGACGGCAGTTGAACCCTCGACGGTGTTTGGGAAAAAAGAAAAAGAAGTCCTCTCCTCAACATGATTGACGGGTTCGGCTTTCAGCGCTCTCAAGCCCACCCTTGCATTTATCATTCATTCTACAATAACAATGGCCACCATCTTGAACGGAAACCGGCAGAACAAGCTTGGTTGAAGTGCCTGGAGACCGCGGTCCTCAGTTCCCTATCGCATCCAGATAAACTGTTGTTCACCGATTATGGGTTGCATCTTATTGCATTGCTCACATTCGTAGAACCCACGTTCATCTTCAACAGAAACCGACCGAATCTTCAACAGAAACCAACCGCACAATCTTCGTTGAATTGCCTGCCACTGCCAAACGGCAGTTCCGCGTTCTCTTCCACCTTCAGCTTGCGCTGTTGTTGTACAAGCTTGGTTCAAGCGCCTGCCGAAACTGCAGTCCTGAATTCAGCTTTCGCGACCGTCAACTCGACCCTTGCATCATTTGCTTCAAAAAACTGACACCAGCTTCATCTTCAACAAAACCGCCAGAACAAGCTTCCTTGTCTGACGTGCTTGCCGTCCGAGTCATCAAGGACCAGATCAAGACTTTTTCATGCAAGAGAGCCTTCCAGATCGAGAGCAGGCTATGTCAACATCAATTATAGAAGCAGGCCATCAGATTGCGAAGGAGCTTCGCCTGAGGGGCAGTGAGCGCCTGCCGAAACCGCAGTCCTTACCCGCGGTGTCGTTCATGATTACGGGTGAAATCTCCTCTCCCACTATCAGCGAAGCAGCTTGTGCTGTTGTTCACGATTATGGGTGCGTGAACTTATTGCGAGTGCTCCTCACATCCTTAACAAAAGCCATCAGTCCATAGCCCCTTCGCAGACCATTCCCACGATTGCAGCCACATTATTCATGTCTGTGGATGAAGCGAGAGGCAATCTCCGCCAGTGTAGCCTGCAAATCTGTATCTCCACGTTCAGCTTGTGCTGTTGTTCACTATTATGGGTGGGTGAACATATTGCGAGTGCTCCTCACACTTGTACTAATAAAGTCATGAGTGCATGGATGACCTATCACCCCATGACCATGACCCCTCGCCATATCTCTTATTGCCACCCTCGTTCACGACCCGTCGCCATATCTCTTCTTGCTGCCACGTGTACAGCCTCTTGTTCACAATTAAGGGTGAACATATGGCACTACTCACATGTGCAACAAAAGCCATGAGCCCATGGATGACCCATAACCAGTGACCATCACTCTTCTTGTCAGGGGTACAGTCCCTCCCAACGCTAGAGCAGCTTCCACTTCCACACTTGATACCATCCCGCGGCGGACCCATATATATACTCCCTCCTGCGGAGGCGGCCTGTCCATCCATTTGAAGGGCGTACTCACGCTCGGACATACTGACACCATTGACTTTTCTACTATTTTCTGGACGTAATTGGAGTCAGGTACATCCTGGTACCTGACTCCGATGGCAGTCAGATCCATTCAGGATCATATTGATGTTGCCGGTATGCGCTAAGATTTCCGTCCCTGCTCACTGAGATCCGTTGTTGAGTCGAGTTTGAGTTGTTTTTTTTCCTAAGGAAAAGAAAAGAACGAACAGAAAAATAAAAATAAAAATCAGTTGTCCAGTCACACCAACTGGCCAGCCGAAGTCTTCGGCGACTCAATATGTCATTGCATGTGCACACACCCGTTCTGAGCTTTTTACTTCGCTTTTTCTTAAGAAAAAAAGGAAAAAACAGGCCTTTACAGGCCTGGCTCCCTGCTTTGAGCTCACTCCGTTGGTATCGAAACGCTTTCGGGGTGATTCGACAGGTGATCGAGTGCGCAGACACCCAGACGTGTGCTCTTCCGATCACATGTCGAGTGCCACTACCTGCCTACCTCTAGCTGGAAGCGCAGGCACCCACTGCCTATTAACTCTCTTTGGGTGTCAAATTCTCATGCACCCAGATTGCCGTGTTGTGCAGCAGCCCATTGAGCCCAACGCTTGAGCTGTTCGGCATCCAGGATATTGGGTTCAATTACTAGCCGAGTGGCAGCGATTGTCTGAACACACTTGACATCGTTGAATTCAGTCACATGCGCCGTCTTAACTGCAAGGACAGGGGGAATGCCATTGGGCCTTTCGCGCAGAAGGTCCTCGAGCCGCTGACCTTCTTTGCGGCAGAGCTCTCCCCAGAGAGTAAGCTCAACATGCCTCTCAGGCGTGTCCAGCAGCGTTACGGTCCTGTTCCAACATTCTGCTTGGTCCCTCCTGCGCAACACGCATTGCACCGGTCCAACGGCAACGACAAGACCAATGAGATCCACAACCGTATCCCTTCTCAGTTGTGCAATTCTAGTAAATTCAAATCGTTCGATAGGTATACGTCCGTCGTCTTCTGCCGGCTCAATGATCGAGTAGCCATCTTTGAGTTGATTCTGCCAGTCATGACGTAGATGATGGCAGTCCTTCCTCGATTCTTTCACTAATCCATTGGAGAAGAGGTACACTTGGCCAACCTCGATCTCATCGCAAACTCCGTCGGCGAGTGAATCGAAACATACAACAGGAATCTCCCCGGTCGCGTCATGAAGTTCAAAGCTGAACACAGTGACGATCTTGTTACGATTGATACACCGCCTCTTCTCATTCTTCTTTCCCACCCTTGCCTTGATGGTCCACCGCTCGTGGCGCCCGTCCAATTCCCCAATCGGGATGATATCCTCATAATGATCTTCATGATTCAAACCCACAAGCAAACGATCGTAGAATGCTTCCATTGGTTATCTCCTTGATCCTCCCTCTCCCACTCACCAATACAGCAGCGACAGCAGTCGCTCACTACAGGCCCTGCACAGAGATTGCCTGCCACCTCAATCCGATCCAGGAGCACGGCTGTGGTCCCCACCTGCTCGTCGATGTCAGATGTCAGAGCTGCTGCGGCAGTGGTGGTAGGGGTGGGGTTGAAGATCTGGCTGGACAGACCCTTTTTCTGGGTTAAGAAGCAACAGCAGGACAACCAATTGAAATTTTTTCTTAGTTATCTTTCAGATATGCGTTACACAATTGGGACGACGCACAGAAGATTAACATCGCCCCCGTGCAAGGGTGACAAGATGTGTCCTGCAGAAGAAGAGTATTAAGCAACACAGGCTGTTGGCTGGCGGATTGGGCACATCCAGATTCCAGAACTATTGATTGGCAGGTGAAGAGCTTGAAATTAATTTGGAATCGTAATTTTTAATGCATGGTTAGCCTTGCTTGGTTCTTTATATAAATTTATATAAATGCAATAATCAATTTAGTAAAGTAACAACAGCATGGCAGAGACCTTCGACAGTACAATAAGAAAATGTGTGTGTGCTGTTATGTTCGCTATACACAACTCCACAAAGAAAAGCACGACTGTCCCAGACCGTTTCGTCGTGTGTGCTTTTCAAAAGACCCCAAACTCTCTCTCTCTCTCTCTCTCTCTCTCTCTCTCTCTCTCTCTCTCTCTC